AAAAAAAAAAAAAAAAAAAAAAAAGAAAATGGAATGATAACATCTCATGATAGCCCAGGTTTCAAAGACCTATTGCCAGAACTTGGAACCAAGAAGGGGGAGGGAAGATGGAATTAGTAATAATGTTTTTAGGCATAAACAAGACCCAAGACCACCTACAAACATCTAATGGCTCAAATATACCAAGTGCTTTGGGGCATGTGAGTTATTTTACTTGCTTGGTGCTAAAATTTGATAAAAGACTTTTATTCCTTTATATGCGTGTGGTTACTTTAGGTTGTGGTGTCCTTGATCAATGGTCGTCCAGGTGCAAAAAATTTTACTTTCTCTAACACCCTGAGGGAGTTTACCAGGGCAACAAACATCCGCTTGCGTTTTCTGCAAACCAACACTCTTCTTGGACACCTCATCTCCAAAGCACAGCGAGATCCAACTGTCACTCGGCGGGTGAGTAGTGTTTTGTAAGTGTCTAGTCTGCAGCGTTTGTTTCATTACTTTTTTTTTTTACTTATCAAATTAATTTCTTTGAACTCTTTTAAGTAATGCCAGTAATGGTGTAGGCATGAGGGTTGGTCTTATCCGAAATACTGAATATAATTAGAAGCTTAGCTGTTTGAAGAAAAGCCATTATATTCAAAGGAGATGAAAGGCAGAAGATTATAGTCAGCCTGGTATTAGTCTGGATGGGCTAACTAATATTGTAACAAACAACCTCCAAATCTCAGAGGCTTAGCAAAATAAAAGTTTGTTTCTTGCTTATATTAGGTACATTGTGGGTCATCAGGTGGGATCAGCTCCATGCAGTCATTCAGGGAACCAGGCCCTTCCTTCCTCCCTCCCTCTCTTTCCTTCTTTTGTGTTTCTTCCTTCCCTTCCCCTTCCCCATCCCTCTTTCCTTCCTTCCTTCCTTCCTTCCTTCCTTCCTTCCTTCCTTCCTTCCTTCCTTCCATCCTTCCTTTTGGTTAAAGGTCTCACTCTGTCACACTGGAGTGCAGTAGCACAATCATGGCTCACCACAACCTCAACCACCTGGGTTTAGGCGATCCTTCCACTTCAGGCTTCTGAGTAGCTGGGACTATAGGTGTGCACCACTACACCCAGCTAATTTTTTTTATTTTTGTAGAGATGAGGTCTCACTATGTTGCCCAGGCTGATCTCAAATTCCTGAGAAATCCTCTTGCCTTCGCCTCCCAAAGTGCTGGAATTCACAGGTGTGAGCCACTGAGCCTGGCCTAGAGAACTAGGCTCTTTCTATTCAGAAGCACAGTCACCCTGCAGGACCTCAGGGCCCTCCTCTGGATCCCCTCTATCTGGCCAGCAGATGAGGAAAGAGAGTGTAGAGAGGATCACCTGCTTCTTACCATGGTAGTTACTTCCATTGGCAAGAACTTGTCATTATAGCCCCACCTGGATACAAGAAGTCTAGATGATGGAATCTAGCTGAAATAGAGGAGACCATAGATATTGGTGAGCACTGGTATTCTCTACTGTGTTGGAGGTACACCTTGAACGTCTCTTGCTCTCAGGTGTCAGGGTGGTACCCTTGTCATGTGGGCACAGAGAGAGCCAGCAGAATAAATACCCTGAGCTCACTCTTCTCCCACCCTTTGATCTCTTGCCAGGGCCTTCCATTGGCCAAACCCAACAGGAAGTCAGAGAGCAAGTGAGCCCATTTGTTACAGCCCATGAAGTCCAGCCTCAGGGTAAAGGGCATGATGGGAAAGTGTAGAGAGTGGACCTGGAAGAGTGACTGGAAGGTACCCAGTGCACCTTTTAGGGTTTGGCTTTTTTTTTTTTTTTTTTGAGTTGGAGTCTCACTCGGTCACCCAGACTGG